AAAATGAGTGACTTAATTATTTTATCCTATTTAATCAGTAAAAGATGAAATTCTCTTGATAGGATAGGAACGAAGTTCTACATTGTTTGACCTTTGTCATGAGTAATTATGTTGATACTCTAACCTTTAAGAATTTTACGAGTGTCTTTATGAAAATAGATGCAATATCATATATCAATTGATGGAGTAAAAGGTAAAAGCTAATATCTAATACATAAAGGTTCGAAGGTTAAATCAACACAAGAAAATAATTTTGATTTACTTGAGAAAGTTTTGTTTTTTACAAATATAATTTTTTAAAGGGTCTTGTCTAGAATCAACCATAAAAATGAGTGACTTAATTATTTTATCCTATTTAATCAGTAAAGATGAAATTATCTTGATAGGATAGGAACGAAGTTCTACATTGTTTGACCTTTGTCATGAGTAACTATGTTGATACTCTAACCTTTAAGAATTTTACGAGTGTCTTTATGAAAATAGATGCAATATCATATATCAATTGATGGACTAAAAGGTAAAAGCTAATATCTAATACATAAAGGTTCGAAGGTTAAACCAACACATGAAAATAATTTTGATTTACTTGAGAAAGTTTTGTTTTTTACAAATATAATTTTTTAAAGGGTCTTGTCTAGAATCAACCATAAAAATGAGTGACTTAATTATTTTATCCTATTTAATCAGTAAAAGATGAAATTCTCTTGATAGGAGAGGAACGAAGTTCTACATTGTTTGTCATATATAAGGAATCATAATCTTAGGACTCATTTTCATTAAAATCCTAAAATAACTAAACCACGAGAAATATATTCCTCTTTAGCTAATCAAACATAAAGAAAAAAATTGGTACTCACACTAGTCCTTGTAAAACGATAATCTTACTAAGTGATGTAGATTGTGCACTTGCGACATATCAACACACTCACTCATTATTCTTAATGTATTTATGTTTAACGAGGTCTCAAAATAAAGTCACAATTAATGTTTCATTTGATTAATATATTAGATAGTTTTTGTCATTTATCATTAATAATGAATTACCTATTTTATAGAAATAAAATTGAAAAATCTAGTTGAATTGTATAATGAAAAAAAATAAAATTAATGGATTGTTTGTTTTTAAGAATTTTTTATAACAAAAAAGTTAAATTAGCAAACAAACTATTTAATATTTTAGAATCTTTATATAAAAATGAACAGGGCCAACAAGAACAATTTTTTGGAAAAGGCCCAACAATTTCAACAACACAAAAAAGTGATGGTTCAATGTGCCAGGCCTAACTTGCTATTTGGACAGAGAATACAGCAGCCTGTAATCCCTCCACTGTCAAGAGCAGGAGGTGTTCACTGCTCTGTGAAGCCAGCCTCATGCGGTTCCCTCAATTCTAGGGACCAGGAGGCCCGGGCCTTCGCCCAAACCCCATGGCCCAACTCTCAACTTGGAGCGGGCAGGCCAGCATAATGTACAACTCAGTCCAGCACGCTGGGCCAAAGCCATGTTCCACCACAGTATTGCCCCCACTTGGGTCACAGGTTGTTGTTACTCAACCCGGCGATTCTCTCTCTTTCTCTGGCATCTATAAGCAAATGCTTTCTTTATACACTATTCGATGTGGGATTAAAAGCCAATGTTGTACTTCTATCATGAAATTTGTGTCTCAAACATCATCATCAGAATCACTTATGTACTGAATCCAATTCAAGGTCCTTGTGCTTGACAGAGATGGATGGATACAGCTTCCATTTCTGCACTATTTCAGACGTCAAAAATATTCTTTATTTACATGACACAATTCAACACGTTAGTTTACTGCAACAAAACAGCACTCACTCTATAAACAGATGAATGGATATTATGAAATTGCACTCTACACTCTCTCTTGTTTTCCTTTTGTAGCTGTTACTGGGAATTATAGCATATTACTAAATGGATAAGTGAGTTTTCACATCTGCTGTTGTCGAGAGCTCAATGATGATGACTATAGCTGCAAAGGTAAATTTTGGAGTATCAACATTTTTAAAGCATGTGATCAAAACAACATCAAATGATTGTCAATAGCATGTTTATGCATCAAATCTTTTGTTTCTACTGTTGAAGTGAATATAAGGGTAAACTCTATGTGAACATTGTATAAATGTTATTTCTACAAACTATAATTCTGAGCTTAATTATAAAAACAAGTTATGAAAAACTCTTCTAAACACTTACACAGTTACGTGTTTGTTATCCAATTGCAAATTTTAATGTCTTTTCGTATGACTTAACCTTATTCATTCCTGCAGGGAGGGTGCATTTAAGAATGTCCTTGATATATAGTTGGTGGACCAAAACTGAAAGGAGAAATAATCCTCACAACAGTGCTTTTTTAACTAGACTTATCACCAACACAATTTTAGTATTATCAACTAAAGTTACATTCATTCAAGACTACATACACTGAGGGATCTAACGCTGTTTTTATACGCAAGTTAAGATAGCTTCCAACTTCCAATCCAACTGTTGTTTATAAATAAAACAATTCTCTAATACGATGCTAGAAAAGTGTCCTGATTCACTTTATTCTTCATCAGAGGACCATGGTTGTTTACGGGCCTTGTGTCCATCCTAGAAAAGTAGTATCTCTAAAAGCCTAGTTAGCAAAAGCAGTTGGGATTTGTCTTTGTATCTTTCGAAGAATGGTTCATACACATGGTCTGATTGCCCTTGATTTATATTGTCTTAACTTTATCAATCTTTCTTACTTGTTGTGATTTGTCTTCTTCATCCGCGGAGGATCGCATGATTTCAACGTGGTTAGTCCATGTTGGTTTGTCATGTGGGGAATTTCCACATTGGTTTTCATTGTTTACAAGATTAAGGGTGCTAAAAAATTTTAACAGCACTATCTGACTGAGTTATTCTCCTTAAACAATGTGAACAAATTACACAAATCTCATGTATTCAACAAGCCTGTGGCCCTCCCACATCCTTGGTTTTTTGTCGAACTACAGATAACCAGCACTCTCCATATTTTTTCATAAAAGAAAGTTTCTGCGGTTGAAAATTCATGTGCTAGAGGAGGCTGCAGTATTGTTTCTCAGTGTAACTTGTATGGTAAGGCAAAGCAATTGAGACCAGCAAACATCTTTTTTGGATTGTGCTTTTGCAGAAAGTATTTAGACCTGGCTTACTTCTATTTGACACTTTTTCTATTGAATTTGTTCTATATATTTGTAGAAGATCTTGATCGCCTCAATGTAAAACTTTTTTTATTCTGCGAATGTAATGATTAAAAGTTCGAATGCATATGACGGATATATAAAATTATTCTCTCTTTTACATTTATACAGTGACCTAGAAAAGAAATCAAAAGAAGATAGTTAATGAAGAATAATTTTGTTCACAATCACATGCATGCATTAATATATATTCAATTCTGATACACCGTCAGCGTAACTATTAATATTGTCGAATTTTCAAAATGTTAAGTTGCACTCAATATTTCTGACATGATATTATGTGAATAATTATTTTGAGTTGTATATATACTCGTTCTTGTCGAGTAACCTTGGTAACCATGGTAAGCCTGTACAATCAAACATTTGTAGTTCTAGTCGAACTACAAGTATCTGACACTCTTCTCATTGATTTTAAACTTATCAGTTCGGACAACTTTGATACAACCTTACTTATTAACAGCGAACTCGCTTCCTCTGCTGTATATGGTTAAACTCTTCAATTAAACTCTTCTATGAACCAATAATTTCATTGTTTCAAATTCATGTTTGTAGAAAACATGCTTCAGACAGTTTGAATTTACAACACAAAACATGTGCTTTTTACATGTCTTGAGTTTAGAATCAACAATACAAGGTTTAGAAAAACTCACTCATACTTCCTATGATGACATACTCAGCTTTTTAAGTACTGTAGTGAGTAAAAGTAGTGAGTAAAAGAACAAATGCATATGACAATAAAATTATTTTCTCTTTTACGGTGACGGAAGAAAGAAATCAAAGAAAAATATATTTAATGAAGAATAATTTTGTTTGCAACTAACGTACATGCATTCATATAAATTTAATTTTGATACATTGTCAGCGTAATAATGCATTCATATAAATTTAATTTTGATACATTGTCAGCGTAATTATTAATATTATCGTTTTTAAAATGTTGATGTTTTCAATGAAATGATATCATGTGAATAATTTGTTTCTACAAAAACAATAACTCGTATATAAAGATATTATCATGTAATTGAGAAAAATATACAATATCTAGTACAATAAAAAAAAGTGAAAACACCACATAGAGATTTGAGGGATCATAAGAAATAGGAGTCGCTTCGACATATCTAATCTATAACAATAGATGTTCTAACTTTATCCTTAACTTATGTTGATATATAAGAAAAGTAATTGATTTGGCCTCTTATGCCTCTTATGTCAGGTTAAGTTAAGTTTTTTCATCTTGTGAAAGGAGTTAGTGCAACCTTTTGAGAAAAAGATATCGAACGTGTTTTGCGCAACATAAAATTATTCTCTCTTTTATATTTCTGCAGTGGCTGGAAGAAAGAAAACACCATATCATAAACTAATTTTTCTTTTGCTATTCATTTTTCCATAAAGTTTCTTTCTCTACATAACACACCAACTAAGATCAAGTCTATTACAATCTTGCAGCTTTAAAATACTCTAATAAGACCTACTTGGTTTCACTTGCTTTGGAAGTTAATCACCTTTTTCAAGAACTAGATTCCCTAATAACAACCTCAACTTACAAAGACAATCTTCATTCTTACACAAACAGGCAATACTTCCACCATGAAACTCTATGAACATCAAACCTTAGCTAATATGTACCCTTTTGTTAGTTAAATATAGATGTAGATTGAACTGAAAGCATGCCAGGGGCAACAACACTGCAACGAAGTTATGCTCTATTTATCCAGGATGCTTCGACATAACAAAGCTGTGAACGTAAGGAGCTAGGAAACTTCATTGTTGGTCGCATGTCAAAAAAGGGCAGAACTTATTCTTCGAAGACGGTATTTTGGTTCATGTGATGGTTCAGGTGGTAGCCCCTGCTCAAACTCCTGCATAAGGGAAATAATTTATTACAGTTTAATCAGGAATTTGTAGTTGCAGCATGACATGACTCAAAAAAATCTGCGCAATAATTAAGGAAGCTAAATTTTATAGTCGGGTAACCTTCTCTTTCTTGAGCTGAATATTTACTTGTTCTAGTCGAGTAACCTTGGTAACCAGTTCATTATGGTAAGCCTGCACAATCAAACATTTACAAGTGACAAAACAAATGATATTTCGGCTACGCAGATGAAGAAGGGACCAATACAATCAATTTCTTTAACATAACACGTAAAGGCTAAACCTGTTTTCTTGCCCGTGATCGCGCGGCAGATTCCCTATTCTTGATTTTCCTTTTCAGCCTCCTTTCGAGAGCCTTCTCGTATGCATCCGAGGTATCCCTTCTACGACCTGGTTTCGTATCTGACATACTACTAATCGAAGAAGAGGATAACAAGCCTGTTTTCGGTTGAAAACTCTGAGGAATAACTGTATCCATTGCATCCAACCCCACCGTCGAACTAACAGAACCTCCAGCAAAAAGCCCAGCTTGTACTAAAAAATCCTCCAATGTTGTATCGCCGAGAGTCATTTCTCCATCCACAATCTTCTCGTTGTCGCCATATTGTTTCTTCTGACCATGCTGAATCTCTCTCCATACATCATCCACCGTCTTCCCACTCAAAGCACGAGCCAACGTCATACTAGCCTGACGTTGAAGTGACGACGACGAAGACGAAACGTGCTCGCTCTCTATCCCTACAACATTATTCCCTTCCGCAGTCCATACATTCTGAAGAAGCTCGTCGAGATTCATGCTCCCTAACGGCTTCCCCAAATCTCCGAGTAAATTGTTAACCTCATCAAGAGTAAGACCATACCATGAATTTTGCTTAACTAACTGATTAGCCTGTAAATGAGACTGTTGCCCATTACTTTGAGAACCCATTGTTTGAATCCCCATTCAACACACTTTTAACCCAGAACCTGTCATCACCATAGAATCAGTAACCCTAGAACTTTCTTTCCCTAAAAAACCACCAAATCATTGACTAAATTCTTCTCTCCTAAAACAAATTTCCATACTTTTTCCAATAAACCTAACACTCCAAGCCAACCTCATAGAACTCCTGAAAGAAAAATTGCAAGCCCCATTTATGCAAATCAGCCGAGACAAAAAAAAATACTCGCATTGAACAACTTAACTCAAATTTTGCATTTTTTAAACCAAGTTTTAACCTTTTTTGGAAATATCACAAATCATGATCAACCCCATTAACCAAAATCATCCTGACGCAAAAATCACACAGAAATCCATCAACAAAAAAAAGAATATTGTTGATTAATTAATTACCTGAAGGAGAAGAAACAGGATCTGAAACGAGTAAGAGGAAAGAAATCACCAAAATCTGAACAAATAAAGGAAGAAACTCATCCAAATATGCATTTTTTTAGGGGTATCCTCAAATCAAACTCGAATTCGACCAAATCAAATGATTGTTTGGAGCAAAATTTGAGTAGTGTGTTGAAATTGGAGTTTGATGATTGTTTGTGGTGTTTCAGAAATGAGATTAGTGTTGTTGTGTGGGAAATATATTGGATTTGGAATGGGTTGTACAATATTGAAAGCGATAGTGTTTGCCTAGTTCTAGTTGAAATGGAATTGTATGCATTAGAGAAATTGATTTTTCACTTGTAGATGGAAAAAAATCAATGAGTTTATAATTGATTTTGATATATGTTAATACTACTTTTTAAAAAATTCATTTATTTTCCTGAATTTATTCAATTAAAATTTTTATTTTTATTTTTTTAATTTAATTTTATTGTTTAACTCACACACACATATATATATATATATATATATATATATATATATATATATATATATATATATATATATATCAAAATATCTAAATAAAAATATATTTAAAAGGAGAAGAAGGTTTGCAACTCTTATAATAATAATAATAATAATAATAATAATAATAATAATAATAATAATAAGAAAATTAAGTAATAGATAACTTTTATTTTAAGGTGAGGAGTGGATTAAAGAGGAATAAATGGTACTACTTATGGGAAAGCAAGGTAAAATGCAAAAAGATGTATGGGATCAATCTCCAAATAGTCAAATCCTTCTAAAAACTACAAAATTGCAATTTGGAGGGTTTGAGTTTGTTAGAAATTGTGTTGCGATCTCTATTTATCGTGAAACAGTTAGTAAAAATTTGTTTAGATCGTGACACAATTGTTTTTGATTGTGTTACGACACGTCAAATATTATTAGGATTATGTTATAATTTATATAAATTGTGTCACAATTTTTTCAGTAGATTGTGTCGATCTATGTATCTGTAGATATTGTCAAGGTGATCTAAAGTGGTGAAGTTTATTGATTTATGGTGTCAACCATAAAATATTATTATTAGCATGAGAACTATAATTAATCTTCTTATTTATGACAAAAGACACATAGTGATCGGGAGAATGATCGTAAACATTTGCAAATACTACTACAAATACTACATTTTCTAACAAAAGTTAACTTCAGTGCTCCAACAAACCGAAATAAAATCACTTAAAAACGCGTCATAATTTTAACTTTAATTTTTATTTAAAAAATAAGTTATGTATTCCTTCGTTTTTGAGATTAAGTGAAAAGAAATGTCCGTCAAAAATAAGTTTTGATTCCAACAATTACAATTTTGTATTTTATTTATATTTATAATGATGCAATCCTTTTTTATTTTAATATAAAAAAATATTAATCTTTTCCCTTGTTTCTTTTTAAAATTTTGAGGAAAAAGGTTAACCTATATTTATATATAAAGCACTGCATTCTCACTCTTACTCTAAACTCATTGTTAAGAGTCTCACATCGGACAATCTATGTCATGAATATGTGTTTATAAATTGAGGCAATCCTCACTCTACAAGTCAGTTTTGCAGGATTGAATTAGACTCAATCACGCATTTTTAAAATTGTATCAAAGCCTCGTTTGCCACCCACTTTCAGTTCCATGCTCCAGATCTAAATCTTAGACGTGAGAGAGGGTGTTAAAAGTCCTACATCGGACAATCTTGATCTGAACATGTGTTTATAAGTGGAAAAATTCTCACTCTACAAGTCGGGTTTGTAAGGTTGAGTTAGATTCAACCACACATTCTTAAGAATCATTTTTCTGCCTCCAAACTTCATATTCCTCCCCAAAACCAAACTTTATTTTACCTGGTTATTGTTTTTTTTTTAGGAATAATTTCTCAATGTTTCCATCAAGACAAACATTCAATGATTTATTGCTTATCTCTATTGATAACATTGAAAAAACTATTCCTAATCATTCTTAGAGGATATTGCATCTAAAAAATAAAATGGTCAATGGTAAGAAGTTGTATTTGATATTTCTTATCGTTCACCAATTTTTTTTGTCTGCAATAAAAGTTATCTACTATGTCGGTTAGGCTTAAACCAAAAGGAAAAGTCCCTAAGGGACACGATTTGATTCTCATCAACTAATTTTTTATGTTTTTATTTTTTTGAACGACACCCTTATTTTATTCTATTTATTTATTAATATTTTAATTAGTTATTCACTCTGTTCTAAGTTCCATCTGATAGGTAAACTAATGACTCCCTTATTTTCTAAAATGATTATGTTAGTTCACATTCACTTTTGCTTGTCTCCTAAACATTTTGAGCCCTAGCAAACATAACACCTTCTTCATCTTCTTCATCCTACAAGACAAACGAATTAAACAATAGATGAAGAAAACTCGAAACTCATACAAACTCATTTCTTTGACTCTCTTGGGAAGAAAACCCATCATTGAGAAATTGCGTTCATAAAAAGGAATGACACAATCACCATACTCCCTGCATATTTTTTCATTTTCACTATGAGTAAAGATACCCTAATTCGAAGAGGGATCAACATCAAGAAAGACTCCATCAAGATTACCCTTTCTATAAAGGATAGAAACATTTGAGAATAAGTATAGTCCACCTACAAAGATTTAGCATTCTTTTGTTATTTTTTTACTCATGATGTATACTATTTTTCCTAGACATGGAAAAAGTTACATATAAAAAAATGAGATAACAACAAACTAAGAAAGATAACTCAGAGAAATGAGAAGCTAACTCTTCAAGAATCATATGCTAACATGCAAAAGATAATAAACTTTATAAATGATTCAAGTCACTCACACATAAAACTCTATTATTCTAACTCCCAATGTTCATAATGAGGATACCTCTGAAAAGACATTTGAAGTATGGGGCATTAAAAGCGTGAATCCCTAAGAATCTGAAATGCTTATTCTTATTATTCTAAGATAGATGAAAGAATGATCATACGTCGAGGCTAATACGATAAGTTATCGCCTTACTACGCAGAAACAAGGGCTAATGGGCAACTATTTTAGGCCGACCACATTGATACCCGGCCAACCACTCTAGAGAAACTACAATCCTTCTAGAACTTTCCCATTGTATGAGAGTTGCCCTAAAGATAAGTACAGAGGATCCAAACTCCATATAGATTCAACGACTCTCTGTGATTCACACCTAACAAATAGAGGGTTATTACTTCCTTTTCGTTATATATAGAAAAATGCTTCATATTTAGGTACTAAGTTTCAAATTCAATTTTAATTCATCCATCTCCCTCATATACTGACTTGAGCATTTGAGTGTTAACCTTGCAGGTCAACTCCCTTTTGCCGTATCAGAAGTTAAGATCTGCCATTATCTCTAATCTTCACTCCATTTTTTTGTTCTAATATAAAACACATACGTAATTTATTTGGGTACAACGTTAAGGGACATAAAGTTTATCCTATATGTGAAGCTGATACATGCTTCCACCAACTAAATAATGGAAAAATGACAGTTTACCTTAGGCATCAGAATTTTCTAAAACTCAATCATCCATATCCTATATTATGCAAGGTCTTTAAAGGTGATCAAGATGTTGATATTACTCCAAAGCCCTTAACCAGGGAGGAATTTTACAAACAACAACAACACAAAAAAAGGCCTGTGAAGAAAATATATGGAGAAATATATTAGTGTTTTTTGATCTTCCATATTGGTATAGCCTCAATATAAGATATTGTCTTGATGTGATACACGTGGAGAAAAATATGTGGGATAGTTTTATTTGAATACTTCTCAACATTCAAGGCAAGAAAAAAGATGGTAAGAATACCCGTCTAAATCTGATGGAGATGGGTATAAGACAAGAGTTATCCCCAAAATAAATAGGTAAGAGAACATATTTCCCCCCAACTAGTCATACTATGTGTAGAAAAGAAAAAAAAAGTTTTATAGAGTGTTTGCAAGGTATCAAATTTCTCCAAGGCTACTCTTCAAATATCAAGAAACTTGTATCAATGAAAAAAATATATCAAATTATTTGGATTAAAATCTCATGATTTTCATGTTTTGTTGCAATAACTTCTACTAGTGACTATTCGTCACATTATGCCAAACAAAAGCAAACGAAACTGCCACGAGATTGTGTTTATTCTTCAATGATATTTGTAATAAAATCGTTGATCTAGAAAATTTAGATAAGTTGGAACATGAGGCTGCAATTATCTTATGTCAATTAGAGATGTATTTCCCACCGTAATTTTTGATATTATGGTTCACTTAATTGTTCATCTAGTACAGGTGATTAGATTATGTGGCCCAGTTTATTTAAGGTGAATGCATCTGATAGAGAGATACCCGAAGATCTTTAAAGGGTATATGAAGAATCATCATTGTCTGAAAGCTTTGATGGTTGAAAGGTATATCACAAAATAAGCTATTGTATTTCTTTCAAAGTTTTTGTCAGAAGTAGACTCTATAAAAATTCTCAAGTATCGTCATGGTGGAATATATGAAGGTAAAGGTACTCAAGATTTAAATGTTAAGACAATGGCCAAATATGTAGGTCTTCAAGCACATTTATA